CGACGCGAATGTGGAAAACGTGGTGCGCACGGTGTACCTATGTTGCGGAGGGGGATTAGCAGGGCTGGATTGGATGGATTGAGGTGGTGGGGACACGCACCTGTTCACCTGATACTCTAGTGTGAGCAGCCAGTGGGCACCGGAGAGCAGTCAATGAATTGCTCGCCCCTCAATCCACTATCACACGCGTTCTTTATACCCTGGCCAAGGAACACCCCAGACTAGGACCCTGCGGGCTCGCTCGTATGTGTTGTGTCTCGATAAGTCAAGCCAATGTCCTCATACCTCAAATTTCTCGCCCCTCGCCGATTCTTCGTCCACCCAGACCCCTCCAAGGACCCATCAGCTATCCTGGGCAAGCTTAGAGTTACGGGAACGAGTCGTATGGCTATTCGTGGCCACAGCGCTTCTCTTCTGTGTCAAATGTCCACGACAGCGGCATGGATCTATCCAGGTCCCCTTTGTCCACGTTCATCGAAGCCTCTTCCTTTGTATGGTCCCTGAGCTGTGGGTGTTGACATAGGACAACATTTTGGCATATGACACGCCGGAAGGAAAGTGATCCTTTCTGACACACGACGTTCTCAGAAGAGGTGGGATGATTGACGCGGGTCTAGGCTCTGCACTGCTTCCTGATCACTGCCTTTGTTCCGCCTCAGTCATGCACGGCTCGTTCTTCGACCATTTTGGGTGCGGATAGCCGCGTTTTTGCCGACATCCAATCCACGCCGACGATCTGTAATCACCTCTCGGAAGGTTCTGTCTCGTCTGAATCGCCATCTTGCCCGCGTATTTATGGGATCGACACCTGATGCTCTTCCAATCCCCACCTTCTCGGCGTCGACCCGGTGCTTGTTGAATGTAAGTTGTCTGGGTTCTATGAACTTCTTCACCTTCTTCTTTAATTTTCTCCTGACGTGAGCGAGCGAAATATTATCAGGCGGTTGTCTGATAACCTGTTCTTATCTCCACTGGTGGATCTTCGTCGAGCCCAGTCGAACTCAGCCTCCTCCACTCAGGCTAGACTTGCGTCTCCTCAAGTTGTACTCCGCCTCTGCCGGACCCCAGTGCCATCCCGCGCTCCTCCGGCCCGCCTCCGATTCCGATTCCGAGACCAGAGCGGGGTCGCCAATCAGAAATCGTTAATTGTATCAGGCACATCTGATTGTTCCGGGCCAATAAAGGATCAAGTCCATACGCGCCGGCTATGTAAGCGAGATGAGGACGATGAGGGAGGCCCGGGGCACCAGTCCGGCTTTCGAACATGGAATCTTGAGCACGTCCTGAATGTGATTTCGTGTCGGGAAGGATGGGGGATCTCAAAATGTTCCGCAGACCCCAGAGTACGTTTCGTGGCCGAACATTTTGTTTGAGAAGAAAAATCGTTGGTTGGACAGCAGTTGACAATCGTCGTCGATTGACGTCTGTCAATCACTACTTTTCGCACGAAAAAGATTTGTATTTTGCGAACGAAGTGTCGGAGGACAGCACTCGGGGCTGTGCTCAACATATGTCCTGTCCTTCCTGCTCCAATTCAATTTATTTAACTTGGGTGTCGAGGGTGATGAAATAAATGATCTAATTGGGGCACTCGGGAGCGCCGAATGACGATGGGCACCACGAGGTACCCGGCGCCTAATCTGAGGATGCATGACAGGTCCAGATAAAATAAGTTTTCGCGTACGCTACATATATCGGTATCTTGCAACATTGAACGCCGACAAGCAGAAGACATTCAGGAATTGGAGAAGGGGTGTGTGGGTGGGGGTTTCCAAAGCGGACGGTGCAGCAGCATGCACTGTTCTGCGCCAAAGTCCAGACCTAGGACACGCGCCTGGACACGTTTCTTTTAAGAATTGAAGGCAGGAAATGCTCTAAACCGTTTTAAAAAAGTAGTTATTAATAATAATCGGGCAGTAGTCCGCATGAAAGTAGATATCTGTCAAGTAAGGAGACTGAGGACTCATCTGCCATGAGGGCCCGACGGCGGGTAGTGGGAGGAGACTCAATTTATGGGGCACAATGACGAGCCACTACTCCAGAATCTTCCGCCCTTCTCGCTATCGTTGTCCCATGTCCACTTGCTGTAAACACCTTCCAGGTGTTCTTTTACCAATTATTCGAATACCCGCATAAACAGGAAAGATATCGACTGAGGTGGTGAGGAGAAGAAGGTCTACCGGAGCTATAACGAGCGATAGTATTAATGTATGGAAAGGGCGAAATCCTCGTACCTGCGAGCTCGCGGGCGAGCCACCGTCTCGTCAGCGTCGCCTCTCCATGCTAGTAGCCAATTAATCGCTTATCCATCCGGCGTCCATCTCGCCCTTGTTGGAATCCGTCTGCCACCCCTTGCATGTCGTCCCTGCTGTAATGGGGAGAATCACCCCGAAAAAGCTCTCGGCAAGCCGCCAACGCTTCATGGCGGGATCCCAGCCCACGTAGAGACGGCACTCACGGCCTGAATGCGTCTAAGTGCGAGGGACCGTGTCGTGGTAGGGTGGCTGGCGTTGCGTGAGCGATATGCTAGCGGGTATCGTCAACGACGCGGACGAGTCTAGGACAGTTGTTCAATCTCCGCCAGGAAGCTTAATTTTGATTAGGAAGTCGGAATTCTGGAATCATTTGTCAGCCCGCCCCGCCTTTGTTTGTTATTTGGCCATCTAGGCGGGAGCAGCCAAGTTCTAAAGGCCACCGCCCCGAAATCTCTTGAGTCCAGGCATCGCCATCGCCAAAATAATATTTCACACAAGTATAGATGCACGCCGATGCCATGGCGAAACTAGAAATTATATTATTGAGCAGTAAAAAAGATACAAATCAATAGAACATGTCGACACAAAATGAAAGACTACAAAGCAACCTGGAGTGCGCGTGTGCTCTGCGACCAGCGAGGCTCACTCGAATCCTTTTCAGGTGCAGGGTCCGCCTCCAAATTGACGCCCTCCTCCTCCACTGTCTCCGTCGTCCACAGCTGGGCATCACGAGTCGTTGAGAAGCACGAGGTGGTGCGAGGTGAGGATGATACAGCCATTTGAGGAGGATGACGCCACAGTGGTGGAGGTGACAGCACGAAGGCAGGAGCGAGAGCAACACGAGGGCGATGGGCAGGGCAGTGAGATCGCAACAACGGCAAGGGAGAGATAGGCCGGAGGACAACACAACAGCGAGCAGAGCGGGGTGAGCGGGGCTGTAGGACGAGGACAGTGTAGAAACAAGCAAGAGCGGGGAGCGCCAAGAGACCCACTTTCCGCACGCCCAACACCGTAGCCCCATCTAAAGCCTGCCCGAGCCCACATCCCGCCAAGACCCCTCGCCTGGTTTCACGTTGCTCGTACACCCCCTCATCTATTTAACAACATGTGCGACAGCAACGAGGGTGCATGAAGAGCGGCGGAGGTGGCGAGACGATGGTTACGACCAGGCGACGCCCACGGTGGCCATCGCGGGTTGAATGGCGACGAGGTTAGGACAGCGAGGGAGACACAGGAAGACGGTAACACAATGGCGAGGGCCGGGCGAGGACGGGCGAGGACAATACGAGACGCACGATGAGCTGGAGCCAGGGTACGAGGGTTGGCAAGGGCAAGGAAGGAGAGCGATCGTGCATGAAGCAGGCGGGGAGACTTTGCGATGAACAAACAAGGGCGGGATTATTTTTGGAACTTGCCTCGGCAAAATTAAACTTCATGGCGGAGTTTCAAAACTGGTCTAGGACCACCACTGTCCAGTCACTCCAGTGGCAGATGCCCACAATGCCGATGGCTAACCCGTGCGACGGCGAATGCCGCTATCTCTGATCACTATGTATGATCGGATCTCAACCCTTATCTTTATCTTATCTGGCTTTATCTAAGTCCGAGGTGTTATGCCCGATCTTACCCCGATCCGAGGGGATCACGCGGTCACGCTGCTTCGCGTACATGGTCCGTGCCCTCTCGACGCGTCTGCGCGTTTTGCATAAATACCGCGCCTCATTTTTTTGGTCGCCCATCCTCCTTTCTTCCTTTCCCCCACCATCCAGGCCCTCACTCTCCTCG